TATAAAAGAAAGGAAACGTGCAGCAGCGCACGTTTCCTCACTAAAAAAAATAGTAATAAGGGGAGTGGGAGGAAACGTATTGTTGCACGTTTCCTTAACATAAGGAAAAGTGGAGTAAATGTGCGGCTGCACATTTACTCAAAAAAGGATGAGTCCTCAGTAGTTTTACACACACAAAAGAAAAACAAGAGGGAATTTTTCTAGAGAAAAGAAAAAGTGAGAAACGGTGAACAAAAAGAAAAACCATAGAAAATCTCTTGAGTGCTATCACATACTTTTGAGAAAAGTGAGTGATAATCATAGGTGGCTTCCTTATTCATCCGTCTCATATGTTGAGAAACCCATTAGAACACCCACACGTTCGAGGTCATGTTAATCCGGAGATACGTTGAGAAAGAGCCATAGTGTTCTTTGAATTTAAGAGCTCAAGACGGTGTTGGAGGAGTTCAAGATTTACGTCCTAACCGAACGACAGTAAAATTGTCCTTCTTCTCTTTAATATCTTTGTAGTTAAATTAACATGAAATAATGATCGCATTAAATTTTGATTTATGTGATTCGATTGATACCACGCTTCTGCAGAATTTTTTTTGAAAATCCGGTTTGAGAAACCAACAATTGGTATCAAAGCGGTCTTTATTTCATGCTAATTAACGCTTAATTATGTGATAATTCTTGAATGTTCAATGGGTAGGCACTTATGTATATGATGTATAATTATTGTGTGATGATTATGTTTTATGCGAATGGATTGGTCATAAAATTTTCCTGTTCCATGGAATTAGTTTTTACTATTTTATTTTGATCAGATCAATTGTAAAATAGGAATTAATATGTAATATATTATTCTCCAAACGCAAGCGGATCATGGAAGAGTTTCAACTATTTGTTTTTTGGAAAAGTTCCAAACTGTTAAAAAAGGGTTTTTCCAGCGATAGTGGTCGGCGAAGGGGCGGCTGCCGTGGCCGAATGTCGACCATGGCAGAATTGCAGCAGCCTTGGGGCTGCTGCAGGTGACTGCACCTTCAGGTGCAGTCATGGGTGCAAAGGCCCAGGCCTAAATTGGGATGCTCTGCCTCATTAATGAGGCAGAGGCATTACACATATTGGGCTGGCCTTTCCAGCCGGTCCAGATGCAATATATGGCTATTTTTGATAGCCCAGAACGGCCCAAACTCAATTTTTTTAGATCCACCAGAAAAGAGACATGAAGATGGAGAAGACTTGAAGACGGAGAATTACAAGAAGACCCATTTTGATGTAATTTTATTTTTATTATTATTTTAGGGTTGTAATTCTTAGGTCCATGGAACCCGGTCAAGTTTTTCCATTTCACTTGTATGTCTTTATTTATTTATCTATTATGTTTGATAATAATTGTATTGTCATGCATCTAACATGTCATCTAGGATAAAAAGTGCCTACCTA